ACACACACTGTTTTTTCTCTCCGTTCGCACGTACGTTACGCAACGCACGCTCTCCGTCGCGTCGAATTGTYCCGCCTTATTACCCAAAAAACCACGTTTATTGTATTGCCTGTTAATATTGAATTTTTTTATTGTTAATTTTGACTACGATTATACTTGACTTGAATAATTAATTTGTTTTCATTTATTATTACATTGGTAACCCGTCAACCGACACTTATAACCAAATACTAATGATCTAAGGTGATTGAGATTGAACCGCGCGAGATATAAATAACGCGCATGCGCATTAGCCAGAATTCACCTTAGTTATGTCACAGTTATGTCGGCTTATATTATTAGCACGATGACACTCTCTTGATAGCAGCTTTCACGATAGTAACTATCGCGTTTTACTATCATCGTGCGATCGCGGCTTAAGCTGCAGCTGCTCTATCCATTGTACCATTTGTACAATTGTACCCACGGACTAAGATTAGAAGTCTACTAATATTGCTAATATGTATAACGCTCTTTATTACTACTAGAGTGCGGTCGTGATTTTCATTAATTTTTCTAAACAGATGGACTATGTTCACGGAAATGTTATTTGAATAATTGGTATTGCAATTTGCAGTACTGCACTGTCTGCACTACTGCATTCAGCCAGTCCACTAGTCCAGTCGTGGTCCTTGGAGACGTCGACTTGTAAGAACAYTAAGAACTAAGATTGTCTTTTAAACTCGATCACTTCCACTTATATGTATATTATTATATATAATATTATTATAGAGTCTATAATAATATTGTCTTACATATTTATATAGATACTAACAATAATTCTTCTTAGTCATTTTGTTCATTTTTGATTGTCGTCACATATTAAAAGTTTGTTTCAAAGTGAAAACAAGAAAAAATGTCGAGCTTAAAATTATCTTCTTTTTTGAAAAACTCAGGTAACGTTATAATTTTTTTGTCTCGCAGTATTTTAATTGAATTGAGATTGAATTAATTAATACAAAATGAATAATGTAGTTTATAGTCTTTGAATACTGTCGTGTTCTAATACTATGTGTATTGTGATTTGTTTCATTGTATAGGTATTAAGTTTGCTCTGAATGGTGTCACRAAAAGGTCAATAGCCTCGTTGTCATCCTTGTCAGAGACTCATCGGTTGTTGTATAAGACGTGTAGAGATTTTGCTGAAGGAGAATTAAAACCTGTTGCAGCTAAAATTGATAAGGAACATTTATTTCCCGAAAAACAGGTCTGTGACTTGTTTTTAACACTTGACTTTAAAGTATTTAGGTAATGTAGGTATTCATATTTGCAGCATTAATAAATGTGGTAACTTAATACTCTCATATAGTTATARTAATATAACTAAATACTATGAAATTTATATGGAAATAATCTTACACTAGATATTTTATGATACAAAGTCCTTTKTGGACTATTTTATAAATACATTTGCTCTGAAATTATGTTTGCATTGATTATTTATATTATTATTATCAAAAAAAAATTTAACTTGAGGTACCTAGCTAGGTAATTATGCCATTGAAATATTATAGATATTTATTTCTATATTCTCATTATGCATGTGTAATGTCTATAATTCTATATGATAAATATACTCCTACTAAATGTGATAATTATATTATGTAATTTACATTATTTATATTTATGTTTGCACTATAATCTTCTAAGTTGATGTTAAAATGCATCTATAATTGAATTCAAAGGTTATTGTTACATTTCAAGTATAATATTGTTGCAGTCATTTGCTTAATTTATTTTGAGGATTATTTGTACCAAACAGATAAAATAGGTGTAATAGATTAAAGATAATATTTTAAATACCTATATAAGATAAAATCACATATATTACCTATAGGCTATAATAAAAAATGTGTATATTATTGACTAGGTAGGTATAAACATTGTTAATTAATTGTAATAAGTTTGTAATGATTGAGGTAAATGTTTTTACATGTCATGTTTAAAATGTGTGTTTACATTATTGAAATATATTTTTATGTAATTCAGATTAAAGAAATGGGAGAACTAGGATTAATGGCTATTGATATTCCAGAATCATTAGGAGGTACTGGTCTCGATTATTTAGCATATGCTATTGCTATAGAAGAAATTTCTAGGTACATTAAAACTACATAAGAATACATATATTTTTTATTACCTCTAATCATTATTTGATTGCAATATATTTGGTTCATTTTAGAGGTTGTGCATCAGCTGGTGTTATTATGAGTGTAAATAATTCTTTGTACCTTGGCCCAATTAATAAATTTGGAAATGATCAACAAAAAGAAGAGTATATCAGGCCTTTTACAACTGGTGAAAAAATTGGATGTTTTGGTCTCAGTGAACCAGGTGAATAAAACATTAATTATTGTTTAATTATCAATACACAGTATGTTCTATAGAGATTCTTGACAAGTATAATTCTTGTATGATTAATTATGTTAAAACAATCAAATTTCATGGTTCAATCAATAGATAGATATGATTATTGATATTTAATGTTTTGATACAAATAACTAATATGAATAGAATCAGAATAATTATTTGAATCATATTTCGGGTTAATAGTTCAACCTTTTATAAACAAAATAGTAATTAGTAATTACTAATAATAATTTAGATTAAACATGACCTTTAACAAATTATTTATMATTTTTAATTTAATATATTATGTTTATCTATAATTGAATGAGATTAAAATTACGTTTCAATTTTATCATWCATCAACAAACTGTATATTTAATAATGTTACAGCTTTGACAGGATTTAATCAAATTAATGAGAAAAAAAAAAGTATTAACTTCTCAACTCTTTTTTAAAAGATCCATAAAAATGGACACANTTTTTATGAGCTGATTAACTGAGTTTAATGAATTTTGATAATAATATTATTTTTTATTTACAACAATAGAAAGTTCAAAGTTCAATTTTACTGGGAATTTTTTTAGAGCTGATTTCAACCCGGGAGAATAAAAAGTACCAGCCTACTTATTATTCACCAAATATTGAATATTAACCAACATATACTAATTATCTATTAGTATTTTAATAAGATTTTTTTTTAAAGCTTTATTATTAGCTCATATTTATTGTTATGGYGGTATTGCATTTCATTATATTTCTGGTATTGCAATCATTGTATGAAACGTCAATCTTGTATAAACATATAGACATTTTTTACTGATTTGTCTCAAAATATTTTAATATTGTATTCAAAACAAAAATCGTWAACTTTTTGGGTTAAGAAAGTATTTCATAATATTATCAGTCATAATATCAAGACAAGACATATCCACCATAAATGTTGACAAGTATTTACATTTTTAGTTTCAAGTGCATAGGTGAAAAACTTTTTTATCATAGTCTTAATTTTCAAATTCCATTTTATCAAAATTATATAAATGTTGAGTGACCTGTGACAACTGACAGTCTTCAAACATTCTACATGTTCGATATGCAATATTGGCAATTGGCTAATTAGGTAACAGCTAGGTACCGTTTTCACATCCAAGAAAAATTAAAGCAGCAATAATAACATATAATTTTAGTCTATCATGACAATTTTTAAAATAACTGGAATTTTCAGAATTTTGTTTTTCGTTATCAGTGTTATCATTGTCAAAATCTCAAAGACTCAAAATCAATGGTGATTGACTTAGATCATATACTAATGATCTTAGATCATATACTAGTATATGATCTAAGCTAATGATATACTTAATACTTAGAGCGGGTTGCATAAACGTCCTGTAACTA